CTAAATGCCGATTTATAAAAGTTGTATCAATGATGGTACTAAAATGGTTTAATCCAGAAAAAATGTATATCAATATTTTATACCCAAACTATCCAAAGTATGCCCTGTGGCCGTTATTACCATCAAGTCTTCTATTCGAGTCATGTATTGAGACGCCAATGTATTATATACATAATCTTCTTTGCTATCCAGGAACGGATATTCATTGATTCGTATCCATCCATCATAAATACCTTCCTTATCAAATGCATCGCCAACCCATTTACTTATCATTACTAGAGAATTTAGTAATAATATTAACAAATTTGTCGTAATGAATTATTTTTAATATTTCCATACCGGCAATCATAATAGGCAAAACATAAGTCAGTGCACCGGTCAGTTCAAACATAATAACAACGAGAGATACTAAAATAACATGAAGTTTTATAAATTTATTATTAGAAAAAAATCGCCTTTGTTTTTATTTTCAAAACAAATTCTACCTGTCATGCGTGTAACTCCCCCAAAAGTAGCAGCTGCACCGACCATGGCATACATTCCTGGTGTAATGCACTCACTATCGGGTTCGCATGATGCAAAAAGCCAAAACCCAGGATCATATCTGAAATATTGCGGTTTTCAATATTAAAAAAAAAAAAGATAAACAAAGATCTTTTTGCAAATTAAATCAATTGTATATATAATAAATAATTTACTTGTGCCAAGCATGAACAATCAACCCAACTGCTCTGCCAAAGCAGGCACCTATTGCTATTGATGGTAACCATACACCAGCTGGAACTTTCAAACCAAATGTTACTGTTGTAAGAAAAAATTTCAAAAATGATGCAATTAAAAGCAACAAAGTCGGTTCCCAGTGATTGGTATAACTTTAACACATGACATACAAACTAGTATTAGTATTTTCTGAATATGATTGTTCTGATAATGTTAAAATTTATACAGTCGTCCCTCCATATAGTCGCCTCCCATATAATCACATCATGTGTAATCCATATAATCACACCATATGTAATCACATTTACGCTTAGGCTTTAATTTATACGAAAAAAAACCTACAACTCCTTTATAAATACATTTTGAAAAAAAATTTACTGTGTCATGTGATTGTATGGGTGAACGACTGTATATTAGAAACTTACTTGCATAAATTATGATAATCTCCTCCTTCGCATTCACGGAAGAGATTCGTAACTAGTTCGTATGGATTAACCCTTTATATAGATGAGACATTATTTGAACGAAGAAACGTTATATTATATTTCGCAAATTCCGCGAAGATGAATAATATATATGACGTATTACCTCATATAAATGTTTAAATAACTCACGATAGAAGTAAAAAAGGAAATGATTATTACTTCCTGTACACTAAAATGACGTAGCCACGAGTCCTTACGGAAAACGGCAACCTTTAGATTCATGCGAATGAACAAGGCACCATAAAGACCCTGTAATATGTGGTAACAATGGAAGGTTAAACCAGTTATTACATGTATTTACACGATTTGACTTTTATGATTTTAATCAACGTAACATACACCCATTATACCCAACATTGAAAAAAAGATTAAATCAAATCCGTGCCAATCTCGGTCGTAAACAACCTGGAAAAGTACGAGTTTGCCTGTTCTATATGGATTCATAGACTAAGTAACATGAATGAGAAATTACATAAAAACAATAGATAATGAAGTTTGATTAAATGAATTATATTGATGACAAAATTTAAC